TACAAAACATCCTTAATCCAGCTTTCCTCTTCCCCGCCTCGTCTTTCTCTCTTTATTTCGTTCTTTCGTTGGGAGACATATAGCGCTTTAATATATATATAATAAACAAAAAAAACCTCGAGAGAACGATCCAGCTATCCAAGGGAAAGGACGAAGAGCGACGGACGAGCGACAAAGTAGCAAAGGCGACGGAATCGTCGAGAAAGAAGTCAAATCAGCCCCGAGAAAAAAGACCGACACGGCCGGTACGCCAAGGAAGATACCATCTACATTCTCTTCGGGAATTGACGATTCGAGAGACGCAAGTTGCAAAGACGGGAGAAAAAGTAAAGAGATGAGAGAGGGGTGGGGGGGGGAGGCGAGAGGAAGAGAGGAACGAGAGAAAGACGGATCGAGCGGGTAGCGCCTGTCGAGCGATCAAAGGGAGAGAGTAGGACGGTCGAAGCAGGCTGCTATTTATGCCGTTCGGAAATCGAAGGCGCGAACCGAAGCTGTTCCGGTGCGTTGTCGATCGAGCGTAGACGAGGAGCGTAGACGCTTTTCGAATCGAGAGGGGAGAACGAATCGAACGAACAGCCGCGACGACCGTCGGCTACGAGAGCGCCAAGTCAAGCGAAGGTAGACAAAGGATCGCCGAGTCGCACGGTTAGGTCGAGGGAGGGTGAAGACGGGAAGGTTGGCGGAGGAGAAGAAGAAGAAGAACCGAGAAGATACTATCGACGCCTCTCGGAAATCGACGTGCCGTGGAACGAAGGCGTGAAGAGGATGAGGACTAGGGATGAGCGGGCTGAAAGAGAAAGACAAATTGACGGAACTAACGGCCAGCTCGAACGGAATAGAGGAGAAAGAAGGATGAAGGAGGTTGCTATTTACGTTCTGCAGAAGTCGCCGACTAAGAGGGCTCGTTCTCTCGATGAAGGACAACGGAAAAGAGAGACAGAGACGAGATGAAAAGTTGAAGAGGAAAAGATACAAGTAACCGCGTATCATGGCAAGAGCGAAATCAATCGGAAGGAAAGTGCTATCGATGCTCTGCAGAAAACGATATAAAATTGACGTAAAACGCAGCGAGGCTCGAGTAATCTACAAATAGATCTCGGAGATGAGAGATTATGACAAAACTACGATGCATCTGGAAAGAAGAAAAGATAAAGAATCGTCGAATAATGCGATATTTCGAATGCTCCACAAAAATATCCTCGATGACGAGAAAAATTGCTCGAGTCGAGAAATTTGCGTGAGAAAAAAATGAATATTCAAGTTTTACGGTAGGATGAAAATTGCAATGCAAATCGGTATTGCAAAATTCAATATCTGCAATTGCGTAACCAAACCTCTTTAAGGAGATGGCAAACGCGAACGTTGACAAAAATCGAAGATGTAAAGATAGGTGAAGTTACGCACGAGAATTCGAGACTCGGGCGCTTGATTAAACGCGGGAACGGCGCGTGATAAACGAGCCAGCGGGGCGGCCGAGAGAGGAGGAGAGAGACGCATCGACGGTACCATACTTCGCAAAGAGCAACCGGGTCTGAGTGAAGACTGCTAGAGATGGAAGATAAAGAGAAAAGCATTTGTAGAGAAAGGGAGATGGGAGCAACGCTGCTATCTACGAGAGCGCATACGTATTCCATCGCGCGCCTTCGAGGCATAGATTGCAGCTTACGAGAAAGAGCGCGGAAAATGATGAAGAGGAGGAAAAAAGAGGGACGGGAGGTGCGAGAGAGAGAGAGAGAGAGCGAGAGGAAAATGCGAGAGAAGATGCGCGCGAGAACAAAGAAAAAGGGGAGAAAGAGACTAAATGCGGGACGATGGCGAAAAAAAAAAAAGAAAAGAAAAAAAGGAGATTCCAGTCCGATAGAACCCACTGCGGGACGAGCCCCTTCTCTCCTCTCATCCCGCTCTCCCGTTATGGCACACACGTTCCGCAATGAACCAGATTATTGGCTGAACCCTGACCGTGGAATTACGCATTCGATAAAAAATTTTCTCCCGCGAGGTTATCCGAGAAAATAAGAGAGAGAGAAAAGAGAGAGAGAGAGAGCGAGAGAGAAGGGAAAAAATGCGTACACGCCGGCGTGCCCTGCCGAGGACCTTCGCCTCCGTCCCCTCTCGCACCCTTTGTACGCTTCCCTCCCCTTCCCTTCCCCCCTTTTGCCCTCTTCGGTGCATGTGCCTCGCAAAGATTCCTCGTGGATGTACGTGAGCGTCCGTGGATGTGGGTGAGCGTCCTGAGAGCCGAGGTGAAATCCGTAGCCAGGGTTGCTGAGGTAGGGAGGATCCGGGTCACAGATCAGCGGGCCCCGCGTGAGCGCAGCGTCGGAGGGGCCCTGGGTCTCATCGAGAGCGCGTATCGCGAGCAAAACTCGCGCTCGGTCTACCCGATTATCCGCCCGCCTTCCTTCCTTAACTCTCCGCACGCGCGCTCTCCCTCTCTCTTTCGAGCCGTCGAGTCCCCTCATCCTCGTCTTTCGCGATCATCCTGGTCATTTCCTTCGCGTCGTGCTATTCTATGTGGCTATCGTGCGTGCCGGGTTTCCATCCTCTTTCCTTGCCTCGCTCACGCTTTCTACCACATTCCGCTTTGTCCTCTCTCCTTTAAGCCCGCTCCCTCCCCGTTCCATCTCTCTCTCTCTCTCTCTCTCTCTCGATCCCTTCTTTCCATTTCTCTCTCGTATCGCCGTTCGTTCTTCTCGCTAGTTTGTTCCTCGTTCCTTGTTCTCTCACCGGCGGAACGATACCACCCTGAGGCCGCTTTCGTTTCCTTCGTTCTTATTCGCCTTCTCCCCCTCCGGTTGGAAGATCCTTCGTCTCTCTGTCTCGGTTTCTTCGGAGGAAGAAGCGCACCGAACCGAGACGCACCGCGAGCTCACGCACTTCACCTCCTCCTCCTCCTTTTCCTCCTTTTACCTTCTTCTTCTGCTTCTCTTCCACGTGTCTTTTGCCTCTTCTCCTTCCTCCTCTTCCTGCTATCGTAACCTTGTTACGTTGAATCCTCCTCTTCGTATCCATCTATCCGTCCTGTCTTTGTAAATGGACGTGCCTCTTTGTCCGAACGACGTGATGATCCTTCATAATCTCATCGGTGTTATCGGAGGGATGACGACACCTCTGATTGCAGGCGAGAGGGGAAGGGGGAATTTTTATATGCGTTGAATTTCCGTTTGCATTCGAATGTCTCAGAAACTCTCATGGTATATACTTTTTTATATAATATGATTATCATATATATTAAATTATATCATTGCATCTCTCTCTCTCTCTCTCTCTCTCTCTCTCTCTCTCTCTCTTTCTTATTTTTCTCTCTCTCTTGCTCTTTAAAAAAGACTTATCATCATTGTCAACTCTATTTCAACCTTAATTTGCTGGACGATTTATAAAAAACTATTGCTCGATTAAAGATATAAATACTAAACGAAAATATAAATAAATAAATATAAATAAAATATAAATTAAATATAAAATATGAATACTTAAATATAAATATAAATAAAATATAAACACTTGAAAAATATAGATAAATAAAATATTATGTCGCGAATTAATTATCTCGAAATTTCGTAACTCCTTTGTATCGCCTTTGGGCGAATCCCCTGTAAACTGTATCGGATATACGTCATCGCGATGTCCGTTTTCCCACGGATGGAAGCGGCCTCGTAAGGCGAATCGGCATCGCCGACATTTTTCATCGCAACGTAGTATGCAAGGCGCGTTAATTGGATTGCTATATTAAAAGATTCGCGAATACACACACGCATATTAATTCCACGGCGAGCGCGAACGTACGTTCTCCGCCGACTCAACTCCGGTTGGAAATGCGAGCGGACCCCTGACCTTTCGCGAATATACCCGTTACGCCATGCGCCTCCGCTACGCATTGCGCTCTTTTTTATTGCCGATCGCCGAGCGGTAATAACGTAAATTCAGTGCCCCGCTGCCCGCTACGTAGGAGACGTAGCGAGAAGAATCCCTCTCCCTCCCCCCCCCCCCGCCCGCCTCTTGACCGGCGAGTCCGTTTAAAAGCCGCGCACGACTAGAACTCACGGCTCGGATTCCATCTGGATTCTGGCGTGTCGATAACGGGAAATCTTCCATGAGTTTACCCCAGGAATGCTCACGACATTATCTGTTTCAACGGACGGGATACCTTGCTAACTGCGCTTCATTTTAACGATACGCCGAATGCTCCCGAGATCAATGAAATTAATCATCATTTATGTAAAGGCGATTTTAGAATACTTTGCTTTATTTATTTATCTCTCCATTTTCCATAGAGAAAATATTACTAAATAAGGGAAATTATCTCAGTATTTCAAATCTATATGTATAGGAATATTTAATATATTGCATATGAAAAGATAATATTAAAAGTAATTTGATAATAATTGGCACACGTTGGATGAGGCCTTCTTATTGTTAGTATAAATTTATTATTATCGTTTTATCCCATTTCTTTCAAATTACTTTTATTAGTATCTTTTTAAAAGTAAATTTAAATTAAATATTAATCCTACGTAAAAATGTTTTTATACATTTCCCCCATTCAAAGAAATATCAACAACTCATGGTAGATTTAAGAAAAGAAAGATGTACATGCGTACTTTCTTTTTCGTAAAAAAAAGACGAATCACAAAGGAAACAAACGCAAAAAATGATAGTTCATAAGTTATCGAGAATTATTTGTCATCAACACGTTAAAACCTTGCGTATTTTTTTAAAAATTAATCAATTTTTTAAATACCTTGATTTGAATTTTAATTCAAGTTAAATTTAAATTCTAAAAAGTATATGAAAACATATTCCAATAATTTTCACAATTGTTACACTCAACATATATATTTATGATATTTTATTGTAGTATGCAAAAAAAGCATTTCCTTTACTATTTTCTTCCATAAACATTATGGAACGTCTGGCAAACATAATTGTAACTAAATAATTCGCGATAACATAGTTGCGATGCCAATCATATAATAAGTAAAATAAACTTATTGACTCACCATTAGCCGCGATGCGTGACCACTGCCTCCTTTCCGTTTCTCATCATTCGCTCCTTTTGCGTCTCCTTTTAGTCCTCTTGTTCCTTTGGATGCCGCTTGAATACTGAAAGACACATTGTAATTGCCACTATTAATAAACGCACTGTTTGCACTTATTCAATTTGACACTCCCGACATTCAACCGCACTCAAAATTCACTTTCGGATAAAAAGACGCGAGAAATACGCAGCGAGTATAATTCGTCCTCGCAGCCCGCTTAGCGTGAAGGATCTGACATGTTTACGAAAAATTTAGACAGGTTGGGTAGGAGTGGGGAGAAGATACACGTCATCGAACTGAGCATAACAAAACCTTTGGAATGTAAACAAAGATAAAAAAATTAGACTCGAGTGGCAATTTTAAGATTTCGATTTAATTTATGGCGAGATTATAAGGAGAAAAAAATCACTTTGATGAAAAAGAATGAGAATTTAAACAGATATATGACAAATTTTCGAGTACTAAATGTTATTATAGACGTCTTTCGAGCATCGTAATGGCGCGAAATTGTTAGTAAAATGACAATTATTTATTTAAATGCTTACAAGTAGCTTATTAAAAAACCATTAAAATTAACCATTTAATTGATATGTTAAAACTATTTTAAATTGTTACTTGATTCGCACATAAAAAAAAATGATTTCAAGGATTCGAATGCGTTACATTATATCTCTTCGCTTTTATAAATTTTTTTAGAAAAGTTTACTATTTTTTAAAAAGTGTAATGTTAAAATAAAAAAATAATTATCTCTTTTCAGATTATAATGAAACACATACAATAATATAGATAAAATTCTAATAATAATCGTTTCACACATATTAGCAGTATTCTGTATAAATTGTTTTTATTCATATAATTTGGAAAATAAATTTAATTATTATATCACATAATGCAACTAATCGTAAGGGAAAAATTTCTCTCTCTTTCTCTCTCCCTTTTTTCTCTCTCTTTTCTAATTTTACAAATACATCTCGACATGCTCTATCGACGGTGAAGATTGTGAACTTACATCAGTCTAATTACAAACAAACGATGAGAAACTAATCGAATAGCATCGACAATGATTGGGAACTATCCTCATTGTCAGAGATGCAAAGATAAATATTTAAATACCGTATAGTTGCACACGGATTAAAGCAGCTTCCGCAACACGCAACTCGGAGCCGCATTCTTCGTACTTTTGCTCGCTCGTCTCGCGATTGGTTGAACGCCGGAACTCTTTGATGCGCTATCTTCGCATCTGCAACGTAAAAGGGATAGGGGAACTATTCACTGTATATCGATGCGATAAGAGCGCCTCGAGTTATTTGATAATGTCGAATGAACATATGATTATATCTACTTATAAATATCTTACATCTACCTTTAACTTTTACAACGTTGTAAAAATACTCGTTTAGATACATGTTGCTTTTATTTGTATGGTGTAATAATTGTAGATGAGATTTATTTATATATATATCATCAGTGATAAATAATGTTTTCCTTTAATTGCTATTTTATCTCGATAGAATGATAAGGGAAGAGAGAGAAAAAAGGGAAAGGGAGGTAAAATTCTGTGAGAAAATTCATTTTTTAGACATTCTCTTTATTTTTCTACTAAAAATGTTGCTCATCGAGACACATAAAGCCATTCTCTTATCATACATTGATATTAAAATAATTAATTTTTTTCAGCTAGAATGTTTTTCCACAACTTCAACAGTGATACGTATTTAATTACGGATAATATTTACGGATAATTAATTACCAGACTATGAATAGTAGTTTTTTCAACATGTGCCTAGTATATTATCCACATATATGAAAGAGAAATTTCTTTTACGTTATCAAAAAGTTCAATACTTCTAGAGTAAATGCGTCGCTTCTGTTCATGAGAAGGAGAAGCAAGCTACTATGAAAAATCCGAAAAATCGCAGGAAACATGCACCGTCAATCACGATCCTGGAGCTTTTTCTCCGACATATTTTTACAACGACAAAGCAATATTTTCATTACGAGTTTCTAACGAATAATTAGAGGCGCGCTATTACAAGCATCAACGTATACATAAGCTCTTGCTGGCTTTGCTACAATAATATATCGAAATATCAATAAACTTCTTTTCGCTTCGATAATCAATACTTTAAATAGTCTCCGTTTGATACTTTTTAATATGTCAATAATTTCTCAAGTATTAATCAGACATTCTCGTTACAAAGAGCAAAATATCATTATAATATTTTCTGTAGCACATTCTATTTCCATAAATGCTCTTTGAAATTTTTAACATTTTATTAATAATTTTATTAATAAATTTTATTAATAATTTTGAATTTTTGCAACCAAGCTATTATTCGAAAAAGAGATCTCGTTAAAAATTTGTTTTCTAAATTTATCGGTAAGAAATTTCATTCCAATTGCATAAGCATTAATGTCGATACCTTGTCTTACGTCCCAATATCGATGTCAATGTTTCACCCGATATAGCAGCTTTGCGTGTACATTGACACCAAGTATATCGCAGAAACGTTCGGAACGTCCGTATATTCGTCGCACGCGGGGCATTATAGTCGGATCGAGACACGAAGAAGTCGATAGTTATAGGCACACGAGATCATCGAGCGCGGGGGAATCTCGACACGCCCGGAGTTCACGCTCCAGCCGACGGGGTCATTGAGCAGCCTACTCGACAACAAATCATTGCTAATGATCTACCCGTACCTTTGCAGTTACCGTGCCTTATACCGACCTAAGGCATCCTCCGCTAGACTATAACTGCCCTCCTCTCTGCCATCCCACTGTGCTTGTCATGGGACAAAGCATGACATGTCCGCGGAACGTACAAGAAAATGAACCGATATAATATTATGAGAAAATAAGAATACGTCATACTTAACAGAGTAATGAAGGTTCGACAATTTGAAAAAATATAAGATCGTGTAATTTTGTAAACAAGCGATTCAACTACTTTTTATACGAACCACGTAAATCGATTATTCTTTGTCTATAAAATTATCACTTCAAGCTCGAAGATGCAGGGACATGGTCAGCTAAACTTGTATGTCTAAACTTTGTACTTGTATTTAATGTAGAAAATAAATCTTGTTTTTGAACTCAACAAAAGATTTATAATAAAAAAATTATGAATTTTTTTAATAAATTCTTTCTGTCCTGCATATTATTCTTCTCGAGATAATAGGTTCTACTTGCGATGTAATAGCAAAGTTTGCAAGACACCGACAAACATGTCAACGTCATCGAATCTATCACTCGCTCGTGAGTTGTCGCTTAATTAAATACAGAAGAATAAACAGTCCGCAGGCTAAAGCGCGGAGGCGAAAACGAGACAACAATTATGAGCGGGTGACCTCGGCCGTGGAGAAGGCAGCCAACGAGAATTACAAACTACCTACCTACCAACATCTCGCGCAAGAATGAAGGCGGAAACGACGTGGACGACACGATGAAGACGACGACGACGACGACGACGGATCGTCTCAGTGCGCAAATACGGACGTCCGTACGCGGGCGTCCCTGGGGGTCAACCCGGGTCAAAGACAACTTCGCGGCAATATATATATATATATATATATATATATATATATATATATATATATATATCGGTGCCCCGCGCTTCGGTTCCACCGGGAGACCGTCGTGTTCTTAGGGAAACAGATCACGGGCGTCGATCAGCGTCGAGGGAACGATGCCTGTCTTAGATGTGAGAAGAAGAGATCTTCGTTCGTTTTCTGCGAACGATATAAAATATATTTTACCTCCAGGGCCCAAGTACTCGGAAATATCCAAGATGTAAATGTATTTTTTTAATTATTTAAATATATAGATAATTGGACATTTTATGGTCGTATAATGATCTTGAAATATAAAGTACTTTTATAGCATATCATTAAGTATGAAAATTTCGAATAGTTTACTCTAAACTAAGACGTGACGCGAGACGTAAAATAGACGTGCGTCAAGATTTTTCTCTTTGTTCCGCTGAATTTTATAATCGTACACTGAGAAAAATCGTTTGATTGGACCAACAAGACGTATATGATTGAAGGCATTTTGATTAAAGCAAACAAGAATTTCTAGTTATCACGATAAGACACGATTTTTTATAACTAGAACGTTTAATAGATTTTACTATAAGGATTTACTATTAGTATTTTCTGGTTGGATCTATAAAATTTCTTGTTACATTAATTTCTTTGCTTGCCACTCTTAACTTGTATTCAATATTTACCATGAAATGTATATAAAGAAATAGTATTAACGTTAAATCCAAAGTATATTTTTTTTCTCTTACAAGCAGTAGTGCCAGAAAGAGGATGCTGGCTCTCTGATTGTGTGTCTTTGAGCTGCACTCTCTTCTTGCATCACTGTTTATCAGTTTAATTTCTAACAAACTGAATTTAAAATAATTTATTCAATAATCTGGATTGAATTTATACAATAATCTTGTTGGAATTTAAAATATTAAACGGACTTTTGAGATTAGATGGAAAAAATTTTAGACGACTTGGTGCTGGCTTCAGTATTATTAACCAGAAAATTTAGTAAATTTAACAGGAAGAAATTAATCAGATTCATCTGGTAATTCCTGCAAGAATTCTAGTTCGTCTTTTTTTGCAACAGACATACTGGTTGAATCTACCAGAATTCTAATTAATGCAACCAGATTTTTTTTCAGTGCACTGTTTATCAGTTTAATTTCTAACAAACTGAATTTAAAATAATTTATTCAATAATCTGGATAGAATTTATCCAATAATCTTGTTGGAATTTAAAATATTAAACAGACTTTTGAGATTAGATGAAAAAAATTTTAGACGACTTGGTGTTGGCGAGTTTAATAGTATTAACCAGAAAATTTAGTAAATTTAACAGGAAGAAATTAATCAGATTCATCTGGTAATTCCTACGAGAATTCTAGTTCGTCTTTTTTTGCAACAGACATACTGGTTGAATCTACCAGAATTCTAATTAATGCAACTAGATTTTTTTTCAGTGCACTGTTTATCAGTTTAATGTCTAAGAAACTGAATTTAAAATAATTTACTCAATAATCTGCATAG